TATAAAACGTTAATATCGTATAAAAAATGTATATTAAGTACCTATAGTATTTAATTGTTACAAAAAAAAAACATATAAGAGTGAAGCGATTACCAGATTACATGCAGTAGTACTTGTTAAGCAAAAACTAATTTTAAATTGTATTTTTTTACTTATAAAAAGAAAAAATTATTTTATCTAATCCAATTATCCACTCATTTCAAAAATCGAAATTGTCATTTAAATGAAAACTGAAACACTTATAGCAATGACAATTTTAATAGATCTATTCTATTAATATTTTCCATTTTCACTTAAAAATTGAGTACAGCTTTACAACTCCAATAAATGAATTTGCTTGATTATGATTATAACCGTTGGTAGGAAGTTATAATGTATAGCCATTGAATTTCTGACTTGGAGTTTATTTTAAAATTCCAAGAATCAGATTTTAAATAATTAGCTGTATTATTGAAGAAAAAAAAAGAGTGAGAATGCTTGGCGGATCACCCTGTATAATAATTATTATTATTTATAAATTGATAAATATTGTTTTAAACACGTATTTTTAAATGTTTTTAAACCAATAAGTATAAAATAATATGGTGTTGGAATCTAGAAAATAATTAACATATTTTTTTCTCGGAACACCCGAAATATTTATTCAGTTGTAATTCGAGTGGCATAAAGGTTCATTGAAAATTGAAATGGATATCAAGCGACTAGACTATACTTAATGTATAGGCAGTCAAAGTAGGCATTATAAAGGAAGTAAGACAAAATTGTCTATTTAAACTATCATTATTCGATAAGAGAATTAATATAGTCTGTCCAAGGATACTGACATATACATATAATAATAATATTATTTCATCTATAGTAAGTTATCCCACGTTTCAATTATCGCAATCCGAAATTGTGCATTTATATGTTAGAGGTTAGACCTTGTCGGATATCCCTGTGATTTACATTATCTCTCATTACCACTGTTAGTTTTTACTCGTGATTACTGATTTTTTTTATACTTCGATATTATATTCATGGAAATATCGTTCCGTGGATTGTTAATAGTTCAATATTATATATTATATTAGATATACAGACCTAGGATATCTATTGTATAATGTATACTAATTAAGTGCGATGCATAGAATATATATTGTGTAATATGTAAATAATATTATACTTTAATGTAATATTACACACGGTAGGGATTTATTATAATCAAGGCTCGCAAGTTCGTGCATTTGCATATCAATCTTCCCAGTCGTATAATAAATGATGGGTAAGATAGACATTTGCTAGAACGTGACAAGATTTGATACAATATGACATTTCATTTTACATATAATATTATCTATAGGTTTTAGGAATATTTGTCATATTTTGGCGTAATTACGAATTTATTTATTTTTAAGTTGTTGATAACACTGTTAATATTGATAATACTTTTGATGCAAGTATAGATACTTTTTTTATAGGCATAAAAACAACATTTGTTTGAGATATGTTATTTTTGTTTAAATTTGAAGTCAAAACAATAAGTTAGGTCTATTGGGAAGTTTTATATTATGCTTTTACATTATTTTCGTACAATCAATATAATTATAAATAAAGATAAATAAATAATTTTACTATTGTACTATTGTACTGGAATAACACAAAAATAAGATAAATATAAATATGGCACCTGCCTAAAATTATATTAAAATCTGATGTTAACTTTATGAATCTATATGATTCTCTACACTTTTAAGTGCTGGAGAATAATACCAGACTCAAGTATTGGAATTACGATATTACCTTCTTCTAGATGTCCATAGGGCTCTCAAGGTTGTGTTTTCAAGAATTTGATTAAATACACAGTGCAACATATTGAGTGTATGTCGTGATATGTCCATATAATATAATATAAATATATAATGCAGTCAATAATAATATATTTTATATTAAATATCTTACTTGAATCGTAGTTGTCTCTGGGTTATACTGTAGAAGTTTTTAAGTGACACAAATGAACTACTCAAAATACTAGAACCAAAATAATAAAACACACTGATTATTGCTAGTCATAAGGATTCCAGTGGTCTCTCGCAGCATTCAGTTTAGAGAAGTTGTTAGTGTACTGCGACTGGCTAAGGTACGACACAGTTATGCTGACCAAAAAGTAGTAGACGACTTCATCCGAGAGATAGATTTCTCTTCTGCGGCAAGGAACTTTTTTTTACCATACTTTTTCTCCAACGGCATGTAAGAAAGCTACATGTGGCACACGCCCTAGGCTTTACCGTTGCAAATAGGTACGTGCCGAGATCGTATAATACTGTGATATTGGATTGAGTCCATGCGACTTGTAAGTGTTTAAACTGAGTCCAGTTTATTATCTTAATATCTTCGAATTGAGTCCGTATAGATAAAATATCCATATAATTTAAACGAAAATAACGTAGGTAGTCCAATGTTCACGGAAGATTTGATGGCAATAAAACCATGTAATGTCATAAAAATTGACTGTTTTACAGATTACATTTTAAATAATTACTTTGAAGATGACGTTGCACAGTTTCCTGCCAAAGTTCTGTGTGATTTTTCAGCAAGTACTAATCGGACCACTAACTATTATGAAGATTTTCAGTCAAAATTAAATGCATTTTGTCACTCGGGACATCAAAATATTTTTATTCTGTTGGCACTTTTCTGGGAATATAATTCGATGTATACATCAAATAACGAACAAAGCAACGAAACCAAAAAGCAATACATTGGAAAAGGAACAATTTTTATATGGGCACAAACAAACAAATATATAAATAAACCAATTTGGACATTCGATTTTTTTAAATCTGTATCATTTAAATTTTCACCATCAACTGTTTAATTATTGATATTACTGAATTATTATATTGACCTTTTATACTTTTTATTATTACGATAAAAAAAAAACGGTGTAAACAATCTAATAATCACACACATTTTTTGGGCGACTATACTTAGCTAACCTCCACGTGGTGTCTCCTGGATAACGCTAATAGGCTAAGAGACTCAACTCGAACAACCTAACAATATTGGTCGGACTCAACCCCAATAATTCAAAAAAAATTTCGGTACTCAAATTCAATGTTATCCGTATTATATATAGGTAGACTCTTTTTGTCTGTGACAATGATTTATTGGGGTCTGGTGATTTCCTATTTCTTCGTGCGCCAGTCTGGTATGCATTTTATTAAATTGTTATATCGATGAGTGAGCATATCATTACAATACCATTATAAATACAGAATTTAAAGCTTACAGAGTATACAATTAAATAAACTCAACAATACGCTGGATATTGCATATTGTATTTATATATTTATGTATATTGTTTTTGAACTTATACGAGACCCAAATAAAAATAGCAAAATCAGATTTTTAAGAAAAACCAAATCATTTTGCTTACAAAATAAAAAAAAACTTAACGTATGATATACGTACATTAGGTTAAGTAGGTACCATTTATATTAAAATATAAAGGTGCGTTCACAAATCACCGTGTCATGTAGAGTTGAATACACTCTACAGTACGTAGGTGACGTATAAGTGTGTAACCAATGTTATGTTGCCTGCATATTGAATTTACGGAAAACTATTCAGCGAGTTATGAATGCTCAAATAATACATTTACTACGATACTTCATACTCAGAAGCACATAAATACATAATACATTTTTTAAAGTTATAGTGTGCTTATAGTACCAAAATATTAGATAAATATTGAAAAAAATATTGTTTGAGCTTTAAAGTTAAGAAGAGTCCAGGAATACAACAAAGGTATAGTACCCGCCAAAAGTCGTGGTTCCATTATATAACACTCGGAGCTCATTTAAACTTAAAATACTTGAATCAAAAAAAAAAAATCGATCTCAATATTCTATACCTTTATACGTCAATATTTTACGAAAGTATTTCGCTACTGCAGCTTTCCTATTAATGAAATTAAATTTAAACTGGGCAGCAATGTTTGTCATAACTTATAAAAACCATTACCTAAGATAAATAGTTAGATAAATTGATTGTGAAAATGTATCTTTATAATAAACTATAAATAAAAAAGCATACTCTTCCCCATTATATTCTTTAGACTTAAGTTACGTTTATTAAAATTCTGATTTCTGGAATTTTTAAGTATATACCTACCTACATAAAACCTATACAGACCATATTCTCGAATACTTGAATTTCGGATGCCAGTTAAAGAATTTTTCATGGTTTCACAAGTTTACAACATAATTATTTAAAATTACAAAATTACTTAAGTACCTACATCTTTGAATTATTGATTTATAGTTTTTGATTTATTAAGTTTAAAACCATGGTAAATTTAGAATTTTAAAACATCACTCCTTGGGGTTAGGTAAACAACCACTCCTTCTATGTGGTATAGAAATCCCAATTATTTGAAAATATGGTCTTTTAGTGCGATTGAAAATTCTAAAACTCAGAACTTAGTATAAAATATTTGAAATCGAAAATGTATGACGTTTTGGGGAGAGAAAAATGAGCATGCATAATGGCTCATTCCGTAAAATAGCTAGCCATGTTATAGTCCAATGTCCAAACCGTATGAAAACTTTTTTTTCAATCGTACAAAAATCGACTTTAAATAATACATACATAGTTGACCAGTTTTGCAAATGGATAACTCCGTTTTTACGTACCTACCTTTATAAATTTATGGCTGTACCCACGCCAGCAAATACAACGACGCAAGCGTGTCGGCATTTGTTGTGGTTGCGGTTGTCTGGGGCAGTATGTTCGCGGTCGACCGCGGCCAATCGGACCACTGATCGGCGGGAAATCTGTCTGCGCGCGTTGTAGAGGTCCCTACCAACATACCCTACTCGCCCCCCACCACTGCTTTTCCGTCAGCCCATCGACTACCTACCTATGTGTTATACACATATATCATTACGTACCCACAATGCCATTAGAATATATTAATGTTATTTTTATCGTGCCCGTCGAGTCGCGTTTTTTTTTTTGTGCTCGGACGAACACTCGAGGCGGCAGCTAGTTTCAGTTTGGTGCCCGCGCGATCAGCAACCGCTGCAAGTCATCAGGACGTTCGTCTATAATCTATACATAATATACGAAAAATATATTATTTTACATAGATTCATAACCGTCAGTTCCCATATGACCTAATCTAACAGAGTCCGAAACTCTTTTTTTTAAGTCTGTGAATAATAAATCGTTTAACAAATACGAAATCGTAAGTATACTGATCATAAAATCTTATCCACACCATTGAGGCACGGCAGTACATTATCATTATTCTGTACACAATTAAGCACGGACGCACAAACGAAATATAATAAGTTATTGCAGGATAGGTCATAATATAATTTACCCATGGTAATTAAATTACCCCCTATGTGACCATAGGACAGTGTACTGAAGCTGTACACAATCAGTAACACCTGTATATTATAAACACCCCCACAATAGTCCTAAAAACTAATTGTTATTTATGAAAATTTTATTTTCACATCACAATTTCAGAAATCTAAGATGAGAATGCGGTAATGTTCAAATGAAAAAAATGAACACAGCCAAATTTGTTTACTGTAGTATCGATTAGTTTGAAAGAAATGTATTTGACATAATAATGAATATTATTGTAACGAATATACTATTAAAGAAACTGAGATACTTGAAAGTAGTATGCAATTGCATTTTTATGCTGCATAACTGTATAAGCAGCTTTTACAATATACAAATATTTTAATTTTAAAATGAGTTCCAATATAAAACTATAAAATTGGCAATTGGTTTACAATATTTTCAAGATGAAAACTTCACAAAATATGCCCTTTGTACCAATGAAAACCTCTCATTGTTTTGAGCTGTTTTCTATAAAATGCATAATATGATGAAATATGTGGTTCGTACGTTTTTAACTCAAACAATTTGCATAATAATACAAAAATTAATTTTAGCAGTATAAATCACAAAACATAGAATTTTATGGTTCCTAATCAGAATATTTTACTAGTTAAATACCAAAAAAATATGCTTTTATATAATGTATTTATATATGGGGTCCTATGACACAATGGCCGCAGGTCAACGAGTGTCGATAATCGATAACTACTATGCAAATACAATAAATGTATCTTATACATGAAAATTATAATATTCTTATGATTTCTGATGGGGCGATGCTATTATGATAAGGCACCAAGTATTGTCTACAGTCCAATACGAACCTAGGGAATGCTACTGGGGCGAAGATTTTTATGCTACAATGATGACTTTTTTTGAAGTCCTAGCGTCATTGTAACGTTCTTGCTTCATAAATTCGTAATTCACTCCGACTACTATGAAAACTGAGTGATTTTCTCGCAGACAAAATAAATAATGAATAGTCATAAGTATACATCTGGGGTGTTTCTCTGTCTCTCGTTTGTTGAGCCTTCCCCCTCCCCCAACTTTTGGCCAACTCTATTATATGGAGATGTAAAATTCATTATCGCAAATTCACAAAACTATTATAAAAAAAATGGTATCTCCGGCTTTTGCTTTGGCATATTTTTTTGGTATCGATCAGTTAGAAAAAAGCATACAACTATACCGTCCCAACTGCTGCTGGCTTACATCTATAGGTATAGATATATCCTGCAATGATACTAATAAAAGCAGTAACTATACTAAAATCAATTTTTTGAGGAAATTCAGTTTTGTGTTTTTTAATCATCGGTTAAATTATATGCAGAATGATTTAATTTGTAATATTTAATCAAAATTTAATTTTTGATATTTTTTAGCCACTGCATTAGCAAGACAGTATAATTACAAGATATTTCACACTTACGTGATGATTTTACTCCACTGCATCGCAATTAAATTAATCTGCTCTTGGTGATACACCTGGTTAAAATGTTACTGCTAGCTACTATAATATTATGTATAAGAAGAAAGTGTATAATATTATACACTTCAATACTTCATCCGAAACGTATAATATACGATGTAGAGCATGACCATCGAAACAGAAAAACGATTCAATATTAATTTACTCATTTATCATTCATTTCTTGACCCATATTTTGAATAACATACCACAATATATTTTTTTTTTTTTTTTATATCTATGCTATTCCTAATCATATGCGTGTTTGAGGGTGGGATTAAGGAGGGTAATCCGCCGGCTTTATTGAAAATGTGTACATGTATATATCTAAATCGAAATTTGGGTGGAGTTTTTTTTTACCTATTTCACTTTGAGTACTAAAGATAGTATTGGTCTATGGTAAAGATGTAGGTTTGGAAGATATTATTAAAGCTAAAATGGTTAGGAAACCATAGTATACCTAATTTTAATAATCGATTAACATCTTATAATATTTGTAAAATTGTAAAAATAATAGATACAATTTTACATCTGTTTTATTTTATTGTAAAACCACTTTAATGAACTATTATCCTAAGTATAACCTATGTATCCCTATGACGTATACCTACATTTTAATAATTCTTTAAAAAAAAAGTTTGTGGAGCCACAGGATGCTCAATAAAATACAATATATAAAATCTAAATTAAGTAAGTATACTTAAAAATTCCGAAAATAAAAATTTTAATAAATTCATTTTCATTATTGAAAGGAAATTTGGGGTAATAATGCTTGGTAAATTACCCAGTATATAATATATAAAATCGTATCGACTATTTATCACAGATATATATTGTTATTCTTAAATTCTTATATTGTTTTATATTTCATTAGGTTTGGATATAAACTACAACCAGCCAAATTTTAGATTCTTAACCACCCTCGCCTCTCTTCTTCATGATTGATGATATCCATTATTGTACTATAATAATAATATACGCTTAGCTCCCTCAAATAATTCCAAACCCCTCAATTACTAAGTCGGAGATTTTTCTTATACACATCAATCACTGAGACTAATAGTGATCTTAATTACTTAGACACATTGTCGTTTTTATTGAGTTATTACAAATTAAGTAGGTAAGGTAATTGGTTTAACGAGTTTTGATTTCAAATGTGTGTCTATTATTTTATTTATGATTGTATCATGTCCAAAAACTTTTCTTATGATATCTAGGTTAGCTAGGATCAAAATTTCCAAAACATGCGTGCAACCATGAGGAGGGTGGTACATTTTTAAAACACAGCCAGCAATAGAAAGCCATTTTAAACAATTTGAATTCATTGTACGTCTATCTGAGTATAAAAGGAATCGATCTTAATAACGATTTATATAAAGCTAGAAGGCTATGGGCATGGTTTAAGTCCGATGAATTACGACGGATTAAACCCTGAAGTACGTAAAGCTTTTCAAGTAATGGATTCGATGTGATTACTGAAAGATAAAATATAATATGGTCCTTATCTAAATACTAAGTTGTCTACTTACTCCATTCGAGGCAAGCATTGGTCATTATGATATCTTTGTAGTCATAATTAATTGCATTACGTATTTTGAAGAATGACATATTTTTAAACTAATTTATGTTTTAGGAGAACCCAACTGCTCCTCACTAATTAATAATCTATGAATTTTGTTGATATTGCGATGAGCTTATTGTTATTTTTAAAATGATTAGTAGTTACCTATTGACTTCTATTTTTATCTATTTTTGATAATCTATACATCCTATCTTCATCCCAACCAGTCTCAGTTTGGCAATACAAATTGTTATCATTGATTTCGTTCAATACCCAATCGTGAAGAAAAAATTGAGGTTTTAACAATGTTATTGTATAATTGCAAGCGTAAAAAGTATACGGTACCTACTTGAAATAAATCCCCATACTAACTGTAATTTTTGGGTGTAACTTTAGAGAAAAAAATATTTAACCTATATGACAACGATTAAGTGTAATGATAAGCACAGTTAAAGTGTGAGATACTACAATTATATTTTTGTGATTTTAAAGCTAACATCCTTGTCACTTGGTGAGGTGGACTCTACTTCTCCACTCTAAACTTATGGGCGAATTTTGTTTGGCTTGCAGACAATAAATTGACTTATAGATTGACTTAATATTTTTTTTTCATGTTAGGTTTTCATTTATTTTCACATTAATTTATAATTTTACCTTTACTTTTTTTCTGATAAATATTATGTACATTAAATATTTATAACTCCCCAATCTTCCCCAATTCCTAATGTCAGTGTGTAGCCTACCATATGTACTTATTCATTTTTGACATTTTTGGTTTTTTCTAAACCATTTTTAATTAATTTTTTTTTTTTAACTTCTATTGGTTAATTTTTCTAAGTTTGTATTTTAATATACCTAGTAAAATTCACCAAAAAATATTATTATAACTATTTTTTTGGTTTCCTATAATAGCTAGTATAGTGTTTCTATATAGACTTAAGCTCTGTCAATAATGTATCTCAACTTATATTAAACATTTATTTATGTAGTATTATAGTGCAGTATTAAATCGCAGTCATAAATGTCTTTTCGCCGACTATTGCATGCCTAAAATTAATATTGTTCTTTAATTTTGTAAACTAACTCATTAAGATATACCAACGTCCAACCTATATGTAATGTATAGGCAATTATTATTATACGGATATTAATACAAACTCTACACAACCCTACTGCCTATTTTCAATTAAATATTCTTTATAACAGTCCTTTCCTAAAACTAAAAACTAAAAAACGTTTTTGAACTCAAATGTTATTTTAAAACCCATTAAAAAAGGCAAATTTTACATTTCAACAAATGACATGACTGAAGTAATAACACTTTGACTTTTAAAGAAAAGAGGACTACAATCATACTTTTCACTTTTCAATGACTTTCAGACAGTATTCCAATATTTACGTTGCAAAAAAAATAACATTAAAGTTTAAAGTAAAATATTATTCTGGTAAGTACTTTTGCGCAAACTATTTTAATTGAAACAACATTTTTCTTATACAATTCTACTTAGTAGAACTATTAGTAATAAGTGAATAGTGAAAAATGGCTGGATAAACCTGCAGTGATTATATTATAATTTTGACAATATATTTTAGGGGATGAGTCCGATTATGTGTCGTAGTATAATATTTCTATCAACTGTTAACTCTCATTTCATGTTTGAAATTATATATTTTTTCCATATTTCATCATCACCCCACGTTGAATATTTGAATGTATTTGAACATACTTATCATTATGTAATGCAATTATTTTAGCATAAGAAAAAAGAAAAATATATTGTATTGTTGAAATTATTTA